TCTTGTTTATAATTGAATGGGCTGCATCATGTCTATGGGGGACCAAGCTCTCACCAGTTCCAACCTGAAGTAAATATGCACTCATGAGAGCTACAAAACATGGAACATATTTAAAATCAATTATGTCTGCTTGTAACACTGGAAAACAACAATATCTTAATATTACTAAATATATCAAGGCCTTGGTAATTGTAGGATGATCTCTTGAACTTAGACATGCATGCTGGATGAGACTTGTCCTATAAAGCTTTGTAATTTCAAGGTACAGAGTATTGTATGCTTCCTCAACGGTTCTCAGCCAGGATGATCTCTTGTTTCAGCTTTAGGCAGGATGAAAGAAACAAGGCCCTTAGGCAGGATGAAAGTATTGTATGCTGTTTCAGCCTGAACTCAACCATACGACAGGCTAGTCCACATTTGAAAATTTTGGTCAGTTTTTATTGAATGATTACCATAAGTCTTACAAGCTAAAAGTTTACGACAATTAAACATCATAATTCATTGGTTCTCAGCCAACATCCAACTTTCAATGTTCCTCAACGGTTGAACATTCCTTCCCAGACATGTACTCATGTATTAGAGAATGGAAAATTATTGATTTTTTTTTCTGGTGACCATAACAGCTACATGAACTGCCGCAGGGACCAAACCAACCAAACAAAGAAAAAATAACAGTAGTTTGATTGCTGAAAGTCACCATCTATGTACTATGTACATCAAATGTCCTGACCAAACCAACCAAACAGTAGTGTATTGACCACTCAATACACTACTGTTTGGTTGGTCTCAAGATTGACCACTCAATACACTAACAATCACCTGTGATACCAAAGCAAGAGGGTTCTAGAAATAGAAAAGGGAATAAAGAATATAAACATGCAAACCATCAGATTAGGTTTCAAAATGAAAATGAATGGACAGTTGTTTGATTGCTGACGTGGGAAGTGGGAATGGGAATTATTGGCAGAGGTTAATTTAATTTTACTGTTTGGTTTGAAGGTATTGTTGTATCAGGTTGTTTGTTACCATGGAAACTCAAAAACAATTTCAAGCAGAAATGGAAACAAAGGGTGTGTTTGGATCCTAGACTAGCATTTTCTTCTCAATCCCCAAGCAAAGCTTAGTGTTTAAGAAATAGGGTTTAGGAAATTTCCTCTCCTAGACATATTTTAGAGCAAATAGTCAAATAGCTTAAGTTAGGGTTAGTTACTTATATAAGTTAACAGTTCCGATAATTTTTGCAAAAAAAAAAGAAGTTAGTAGGCATGCATACACTTGTAATTAGATTAGATCCAGATGCAAATAGCCAAATAGCTTAAGTTAGGGTTCAGGTGCTGACTTCGCACAACAGCAAGATAGATGTTTAAAACAGAGAGAAAATAATGATGCGTACCCAGGAACTAGATCAGTCCAATTGCAATCCATAGCACAAGCAAATCAGAGAATCACTGTTTCATACTCCTGTGAAATCCTAAGTTAACACTTTACCCACTGAATCCACAAATCAATGTAGATTTTGGGACAAATTGAACTCTCACCTCAGTTCTGGAGGAGGGTGTTGCCGAGCCTGAGCCTGCGCCCTGCGGGTACCGCGTCCTGGCCTGCGGGCGGCGTGGCCTGGCCGCGAGCCAGCGTCGGGGTGGGCGGCCAGGGGAGGAGCCAGCGACTCACGAGCCTGGATGCGAGCAGGAGGGGGCGGGGTGGACTGGGGAGCAGCGGCCCCAGTGCGGCGGCCGCCGGCGTCTGGCGGGCTCCAGCGAGCGGAGCGCTCGGGTGTCTAGGTTTTTTTTGGGCTCCAGACGAGAGAAGAGAGAGAGCGGAGGGGACAAGGGAAAGTGAAAGGGGATTTTTGAGGGGGGAGGAGAGTCTAGGTTTTTTATGGTCCAAACAAAAAACTATGAGCGAGCCACACGATCTTAGCATGGGCCCATTTTCTTTAGCGTCAGACAGATTGACTGTATACTTGGCTTTAGCGACAGATGGTTCAACGTTAAATATGAATACCTATAGCGTCAGACATTAAATCGCTAAATGAGGATTTAGTGTCAGATGGTCTCTGAGTTATCTTTAGCGTCAGATCATCCATCGCCAAATATAATTTTTAGCGTCAGATGTCTGACGATGAAACGGTGTTGTGGTGTAGTGTCTCCAGTTGCCGATAGGGCCCCTATCGGCTATCCAGCGGCCTACAGGATACTAGATTTACAATTCTTTTTATCCAAATGCTATATTTGCAATTAATAATTAAAATAATATTATTTAAAAAAAACTCTTTACCATGTGCTTGCCTTCTATGATCATCAGGGGATGGGGTGGATCGATCCCCTCTTGCAGAACATTAATTGGTTGAGGGGCATGGTGGCACCAGGGGAATATGGGTCAAATATTTGAGATGAGCCAGTTCCTCCAAAACGAGGGAAAAGACTCATCCCCAATTGACAACGGCATCGTCTATCTGCAAGGGCGACGCATGGTTGTAGCGGGATTAGGTGTGAGGTGTGGTGCACTACTATAAAAATAATTTTATGATATAGATACTTTTATTAACCAAGGCGATAAAAAAACTCCCTTTGAAATACTCTGTAATTTCAGAGGCGGTCAGCCCATTTACAAAGAGTTCTCTACCTCCTAAAACTAATAACAGAGACAGGACTTCTTAAGTTGTCCGCGTCTAGTGAGTAGTTTCTGCACACAGGAGCTATCTCTCGTTTACATCAGCTCCTTAGATTTAGTTTGATAAGATTTAGTCCAAATGAATATAGTAGCAAAATCAGATGATTTTTTATCGGTATCTTGTTACCTGAAATGACTTTGTTGATGGCCTTGATGAGGTCACTATTGCAAACGTTGATTTCATCAGTAAGAGACCAATTTCTTGCCATTATCCGCATGGGAGGGTAGCTCCTAGGCACTCCCCACGAGAACAATAATTTTGGGTCATCAATCTCATCGTCTATGGCCGTGAGAGAAAATCAGGCATCCAACATGATGAATCAAGAGCAAGAGGGGATGGATCTGCAGCTTATATTGTACTTGACGATGATGCAATTGCTGATGTTGTTTCATCCCTTCTGATATGGTTCGGGCGGTTCCGGAATGTTAGATCCTGTGGTATGTCCAAAATTTTGGATTGATCACTGAATTTAGCGTAAGTACTGCACTCTGAATTCGACGTTCAACAAGATTCCGTCCATCTAAGCTGGACCGGGTACGAGAGGTCGTCACATGTATGTGTGAGACGCATATGGTCAGAACGCTGAATGCCCACATGTGTTCGTGCTTTTCACCCCAACCACGCGCGGCCACCAGTAGCGATCCGTTCTAAAAAGGACAACTGCGGATTTAGCCTAAGTCACTTTTTTAAGTTCAATCATGTTTACAAAAGATAATGTTAACGTTTGGGTCTTTAAATAAGTTTATTCTAAAATACTGCACTAATTAACCTGGAATAATACTTATTTGGTAAATAAATATTTATTATATTCAGTATTAATTAGTGAACTGATTGGTCCATCAGTCTTTTTTATTTTATTACAAAATTGTCCCTTTGTCTCTCTTCCTAACGCGCGTCGAGATAAACAAAGAGTATGTTTCCATGCAACCTATATTGGCACGTTTGCAAGTTATTATATTATATATTATCACAAACACAAACATGAAACACGATTGGACTGGACCATCAATCAGGCTGGAGCCATGCGTGATGGAGCAAATCTCTCTAGCCGACAGCCGGATCGCAACCCCGTACAGTCGTACCAGACGTGGAGAGACCCGTGTAGTCCGAGCCTGCACAAGTGCAGTTATTATTACTCCCTCTGTCTATAGAAAAATTAAATGCAATTAACGCTTTTCCATAAGTCAAACGTTTTAAAGTTTGACTAAATTTATATTAAATACTACTAAGATTCATAATACAAAATAAGTATCATTAGATTAGTTATGTAATATATTTTTATAATAAATTAATTTTGAGATAAAAATGTTAATACTATAAGAATTTTTACAATGGTTGCCGTAAAATGGACGGCTCGCGAGGAGCGATCCGATGGCTAAAAAGACAGATGCATCAAGAGGAACCAATTGGAGAGGCATCCATATTGATAATTCAAGTCGTTTTGTACAAGGTTTGGGTTAAACATTGGGAATATAAATCATGAATAACTTTTAAGTTATTGAGTTTGGAAATGTGAAAACCATACGAATAGATTTGTCTTGAAAAGTACTTTCATAAAAATATACATTTATCACTTTCCAATAAATATTTTTATAAAAATAAGAAGTCAAAGTTATACTTTGGACACCGTGTTGCTGTAAAAAACGACTTGAATTACCAATATGGAGTGAGTACTAAATGGTGGGACCATATGCACCAGGTGCGTACTAAAATTGGTGGGATCATCACCTAAAAAAAGTGCGAATATTCTAGTTTCAAAAAAAAATTATGTAATTAAGGATAGAGAGGTAAATTTATAATAGAAAAATAATGTTTCATTAGCCACTCTCTCAGTCTCTCTGTTCTTCCTTCTCTCCGAGTCTCCGTGCTGCGGCGGCGCCGGCTGCCAGGACAACGGCGAGGGCGAGGCAGGGCTTCGGACGCCAGCATGCGATCCCTCCTCCCCAGTCCCCGGCGAACGGCGGCACCACGTAGATCCGGCGAAGGCGGTGGAGGAGGCGAGATCCGGGCACGGTGGCGTCCGTGCTCTCTTTCGCGGCGGCGGCCGTCCGCGCTCCTAGGATGGTGCGGGCGGCGAGGTGGGCACATCCGCGGACGCAGCGGTCCGAGGGGGCAACGCCCGAGAGCAGGCTCGGCAAGGTGCGCGCGTCCGCCCACGCCCACCAAGAAGCGGCGGTGGCGGCCAGGAAGGAAGCGGGAGGAGGATGGGGCAGGAGGAGGAGGAAGCAGCAGAGGAAGGGAGGGGAAGGCGGAGGGCGGCCCACGCCGCCAGGCCAGGCTGCCGGCTGTGCCAAACCTGGCGAGGCGCGAAGCCGGGCGGGCCGCCATGGCGGGGGAGGGGGGCAGCCTGGCACTCCGCGGATGGCGAGGCCTCGATGCCGGCAGTTGCAGGCGGCTCCTAGCAAGGGTGCGCTCATTGGGGTGCGGAGGCGGCCATGTGGGAGGACGAGGAGGCAGCGGAGCCCGGCAACGCCATCTCCCAGCAGAGCCGAACCAGCTCCGCGGCCATGCCCCCGTCACCGCCGCAAGCTGGGGATCGAGCCGCACACCATCCAGATCACACCCGCTGACGACCTCCTTCTGCTCGACTCCATCAACAGCAACATCTACAGGGTCCAGCTGCCACTGTCACCATATGAGCACGCTCTGCCTCCGACCACTCCCTGCCCTTTTCAGGTTTTTCAGTCTTCATTCATGGGATTCATCTAAGTGTGCTGCCTCCCTCGATTATGTGAGTAGTGAGTGAGGAGTTCTGGGTGGTTGGTACTGGCTGATGCAATGAACCACAAGACATGACAGTACTGTGTCATATGCCTAGTCTTTCACCAGCTTCACATCTACGAGTTGGTTGCCAGTATACAGAATGGTAATACAACGCAGAGCGAAATTAGACTGGGAAATTCAGAGCTACTAGTAGCACACATAGACGCACACAGAACCAAGTTATGTCGATTTGATTTAAGAAAGTTTGAGAGTTCTCGATCGGATCCAATTCAGAGAGTTCTCCACGAGGACAGGGGTCGACCCTGAGCTCCAGAAGGGACCAGTACGCGGGGCGACCGAGCGAGCGTTGTCCACGGTGGGCGAGCGCTGTCGACGGAGAGCACGGGATGACCGGAGGGGCCAAGCACGTCTCCTCGGCAGCTGCGACGACCGTGTGGGCGGGGGCACGGTTCCCCTGCACGCTAGGCAGGAGCACGACGAACCCTAAGGGCCGCTCGCACCAGGCAGGGGCGCCGGGGAGGAGGGAGGAGCGACCGGCTCAGTGCCAGCGACGAGCACGGGCGAGGGCAAGCCGGCGGTGGCGGTGGCGGTAGCGGCGCCGCGCGAGCGCGATGGCGAGGGGCGGCGGCTAGGGCTAGGGCGAGAGCACGGCAGGCTCGCGTTCACCCCTTCGGCATCACCGCGTGGGGGTTGGTTCGGGTGCGTGAGCGACGGGTGGCGGGGGAGGGGGGAGGCGGCAATTACCATACTAACCTTCTCTACGTAAAATTGATTAGAGCTAATAACTTACCTAGGAACCAAAACAAACCAAGAAGTACCCCAACCACCATAAAAGACTAATACTATTATTTATAAACTTGGTCAAACTAGAGTCAGTTTGACTGACACGCTTCTCTATTTTTTTTTTTTTTTTGGTACCGAGGGAGTACTGCGATCTAATGGACCGGACGGGCTCCACTAATAATTCACTGACAGCCGTGAAACACGTATCGATGGGTGCATGCGTACGCAGCGCAGCACGTTGCTGCAAAGCAGTGCAAATATGAACATCGAGCAGCAGGCATGACTGCATCAGCAGTCGACAGGCTTTAGGGATCCGAGACAGACAGAATAGATTCCAATTCCCGTGACGCTATATGCTGGATAACTAGACGACAGTTGCATGATTCAATTCAAAGATATTTCACATCACGAACGAGATGATATCAGGAAAGTTGATTGAACAGGTTAGAACAAGTTGCACGTACTAATCATTTGTAGATGAAATCCTACTGATGGACGACAAATACTTGTACGCCAAGTCAAATCAAAGAACAATAAATATGGATGCAAAAGACACTGCTCCGGATCACTTACTACTGCAGTTAAGATTTGGAGAGACGGCTAGGATAGTCTCTAAGCCGCCTCTAAATTTCCGCGTCTAAATTCAGCCTCTCTAACAACTCCACCCATAAACCACTTTTATCCGTACTAGATATTCATTCTTCTCGTATTATATTGATCCAATTTTGAAATGCGTATTTGGGACACTAAACGGATTCAAATAAAAAAGTTTTCACTTGTAAAGTTGTACATACCGTCAATATCCACAACTTTTGTTTTGGTTGTTTCTCGGTCCGAGGTCGTTTGAAAAAAATGAATTTCAAATATGACATATTCAAACATAATTTTAGTTGGATATATGATTTTAAATGAAAATGTTGTCAACTACAAAGTTGTATAATTCTTTGAGATCTACAACATTGGTTCTGGTTATTTTCTCCATCCAAGGTTATTTGAAAAATTCGAATTTAAGTACATGTGGAATTTAAACTAGATTTTGGGACCATAGATTGCTTCAAACGAAAAAGTCCTCAACTGCAATGTTTTATATCTTTTCGAGATCTATAACTTTGGTTTTGATTATTTCTCCGTCAAAGGTTATTTGGAAAACCCCAAAATTTTGGAATTCAAGGTGTGAGAACTTCAAACATAATTTGATGGATCCATATTATTTCACATGAAAAAGTTATCTATTACCAAATTGTAGATCTCTTCGAGACAGACTACTTTGATATAAAGTTTGTCTTCATCCGACTTTATTTAAAAAAAATTATAAATTTTAGTGTGCTGCATCTATTTTAGATATGTCTCTAAATCCAGCCGTCTCCACAAATGCATTTGTAGAGGCGGCTTGCATTGTTATGGGAACCATTTGTAGACGTGGTTGTAGATTGAGCCGCCTTTATTAAAAAAATCATGTTATTGAAAATCATTTCTATAGTAGTACTTGTCGGGTCCAAACATGGCATCATTGCTGAAATCGGACCTAGCAAAGGATAATCAGCGATGATGGACTTACCTATCACTGCCCGTTCCTAGACATGACAGTGATAGAAAGATATCATGTTGCTCCAAGCCATCTGGGTTCGACGCCCTTACGCCCCCACGCTGCTCTCTGCTGGTCACCGTCGGACGCTAGGAACAGTGCTAGCGTCCCATCTGATGGCCTGTTTCCTCCTGGTCCGACGCCACATGTTGCCTCTGCTGCTTCGGGTTAGCCGTCAAACTCAACCACAGGTTGGTCCGACGCTTGACCAAAACAGGGTGCGATGCCCCTATTAGGGGAAGTAGGGGATCCGCGATTAGGATCCAATCCTATCTACTTCATTCTAGCACATAGTTAGAAGGAGCAGCAGCCCCTGTAACCGAGCATATGAATACAAGAAGAGCAGCATCACCCCCAACTGGACAAGGGCACCTCACGTGCCTGAACCAGTATAAATCTTGTGTCTCGTGTGCTACCATCTGATTTATCTTACGCGATTAGCTACTAGATATTGCTAGAGCTAAATCTTTCGACAGTTGGCGCGCCAGGTAGGGGCGTTTCGCGTATAGATTTCTATTGTGTTTCGGATGGGAATTGACTTCTACTTTGGCGACGACGTGGAGAAGATGTAGTCGGACGAGAAGATCACCTTCGACAAGCTCGACTTCATCACCGATAAGCTCGGGAACCTGCGCTTATAGGAACCCGAGTCACCAGAGCAGGAGGAGGAGCAGTCACCTCCTGTCCGTGCATTCGTCGTGGGATCCAAAAAGATGTGAACAGTTTCTTCGAAAAAGTAAGAAAGCAACGAGAAGCGAGGGAGAACCCAGAGAAACCGTACTTCTACCTACCTCCAGATCTTCTAAGAAAGAAGCTGCACCAGAAAAAACAGGAATCTCAAAAGACTCTGCCAAAATCGAACTACGACCGCTCTCTCACCAAGTCATTTGAGGCGGCGCAGAAAAAGACTAGAGCAGGGAAAGGTGTTGCACAACTCGGACAACAATCGCAACAATCAGTCCCCCCTCTTGTCATTCGTAATGAATATGGTTCAAACTTAGACTTACTGGACGTCGATTTTGAGGACCTGGCTCGGTTTTATGAGGATACCGGTTTGGACCTTGCCCAAGTGCTCGCTGAAGGACCATCTGCTCCGAAAGTGGATCCTTGGAAGAAATTTGAATATGGAAAGAGTCTATACAACCTTGAGGCCTTAGGTGAACTGGGTACGCAAATGTACCTGCTAAACAAGTGGTACATGGCGGCGTGTGAACGGGGAGAGAATTTTGTTTCTGTCAGAGTTAGAAACCAACATTACTTCCATGGCGATGACGTTATATATGTCGAGTTTTTAGAATTACACCAACTATGCCACCTGGACTCTCTCGACAAAAGTCTCATTAGCTGCTATTGTCTGTAAGTGTGATGATTTTCTACTATTAAAGTGTATATATAAAGCTACATGTATATATATAAATTATATATCCTCACACTATATTTTTATATAAGCAGATATGAGATGACAGAACTCAGAAAGAGAAAGAATAATGATGTTGGTTTCGTTGATCCAAATGTCGTATTCAAACACCCTAATCTCCCGCCTCAATGGAAAGCTGAACTCGAGAAAAATCTCCTGAGGTTCTTAGTAAACCAACAAAACAAGGACATACTCTTCCCCTACAACTTAAAGTAAGTGTTAAATAATTAATGTCGATCATATGGACATTTGTTCAATTATTTGCTTACTAGCTAAGCTATCTCCCATATATATATATATATGTTGACTCTAGTTAATGTCGATCATATTTGTGTATAAAAACATATGCAGCAATCACTGGATATCAATGGTCATCGATATGGCCAATAATCGGTTGAGCATCTTAGACTCGTTAAGAAAAGAGCAAACAGAGTACCAAGACATGATAGATATTATTCAAGGGTAATTTGGTCTCTCTAGCAACTATATATATCCCGATCTCTTAACTACAAAAATTATTAAAGGCCAAATTATTTTTTTATTTTATTGGGCGCAGTGTTTGGAAAAGTTTCATTGAGGAACACCACATGAAACATTGCAAAGCGCCACTTGATGTAATCGCACACAAAGTAAGTATTAGCTATATTTATATATATATAATTCAATTAACACCATGCATGTTTTTAATTCACCGGATCTTTTTTCTCGTAAAAGTGGGTTCTGAGGCAAGAACAGGGGAACAACTACTGCGGATACTATGTTTGCGAGTTCATCATGGCGTACGCAAAAAGAACTCCTGAAGAGATCCTCAAAGTACGTTATATAAATATATTCATATATTCACAATTTCTTTTATTGCTTATATATATAAGTAATCACGTGACCAACACACACACATATATATATATATATATTAATACTTTTTCTTTAACTTTTATTAAAGACTCTATGGTTGAAGGAAAAAGTCATACGACATGACCAACTGAAAGCAATTCAAGAGACCATAGCAGGATTTCTTAATGACCAGGTCTTAAACCCCGCCGGCGAGTTCTACAATGATGTGAACGAAACATGGAAGCCAAACCAGATGGAGTGAATTTATTATCCCAAGGATATGATAGAATATACAATGCAAGCTTTATTTGTAATATATATATACATATTATATGTACATAAAATAACGTACAATATATGTATATGCATGCAATATATACGTTAGTTTGATACTTTAGTTTGT